AGCATGTACCCCTTTTCCCTAAGCTCTGGGTCTAGGGAGTAATAGTGCAAAGATATACCTGTCTTGCTGCCATCCAAGACCATGCTTCTGTCTGTAAGTTCCCCGATGAAACATGCTTTATTGGCAAACTGGAGTTGTCTGCCTCAATCTTTGGGTTTTTGGCTCCTTTGGCATTTGGGGGCTCCTTTGTGTACACGATCCTTTCACAGAACACTATGTCTTGTCACTTCTGCACAATTTTCTTTGTTAAAATGGCATATAAACGCTCAGCTTAACTGCTTATTTGAGTCTTCACTTCTTATGAAGATTCCCATGTTCATGTAAAAATATTAATATCAAGTAAAATTTATATGCCTTTTCTCCTGTTAAATCTGTCTTTTGTCAGCTTAATTTATAGGGCCCGAGCCCTAGAATCTAGGATGGTAAAGAAAGAGTTGTGTTTTTTCCCCTCCCTATAGTAACCTCAAGTTTCAGCTTTGAGGTATGATCCATCAACAAATAATACTAGGCCAGGAATCTCAATAGGAGTCTCCAATAAATCTGAGTGAGACAGGATGTTCCCTACCTGGGGTAAGATGATCATGAGGCTCTCTTTCTCGTGAAAGGGGCAAAAAAGTGGTAGAATTCAGTGTGTTGCAGAGGTAAATAGTAATGTGAGAGGGAGAGAGTAATAGATTCTTATGAGAGTCTATTGGCTGCATGAAATGTGCTGTGAGGTCTCAGGTGTAATGTGTGTGCTGCTTTAGGAACCAGGAGGTCAGGTAGGAAGCCTAGAACTAGTCAGCAGAAGCATCTACTGCCCTAAGATGAGGCAGCTGTGCCTTTGCAACCCAGTTGAGGGTAAGGCTGTAGTAAGGGCTTCTGATGGTTCCCCATAAAGTGGAACTAAAACTCCAAGGGCTTACCCAGATTGCTACACGAAGACAGACAAAAATGGCTTCTTGTAGTCTAGGGATGCCTAGGGAAGGAGGCTGTCAAGAAGAACCTTATTTGAGTTACAGAAGACCTGTTCATATCTAAATTGTGGTTTTGAAATCAGCTTGCTGGACCAACTCCCTGAAATTCTTCTGGCACTGGGAAGGTACCAAAAAAAGAGTAGCTACTTTTGTGCAGCTGTGGTGGGCTCCACCTAACTAATCCAAACCATCCCACCAGGCACCTTTCAGGTAAGACCTGAGCCTCTTTATTTCTGTACCTCACAGTTTAATGAATGAATGAACAAAATATAACTTGACTACTTAAGAGGATGTAAGTACTATCTAAGGACTCTGAGACAAAGAAAACCAGAGTGGGGGCTGGGAGAGTGAGAAAACTATAGGAACCAAGGGAAAACTTCCCCTTTTCCCTCTGAAGGTGCACTGAAAATCAACTGACAAAAATCAGATTAATAGGAGAAAAGGCATACAGATTTATTTGATCATAGTTTACCTGAAATGGAAACCTTTAGAATAAAAATCTAAAGATCCAGGGGAAATTATTCCTTTTTATGCTTAAGTTCAACAAATTATGGACAGCTGTGTAGAAATATGATTGCACAAAAGGGTATGAGCTGATGTTAACAGACTGAGTGGGGAAACCCATCAAGGCCTGTCTGTCTAGATTCTTCTTCACCTCTGTGAGCAGCATTCCTTCCTTCTGGGAGGGAGGCAGGGCACTTTCTGGAATGGAGGTCTTCTGACCTATAATCAAACAAGGTAGGTCAGATATTTTTGTTATGGCCAGTTTTTACACAGAATGGCGGGAGTTGGGGGGTAATTAGAGTAATATTTTTAGGTTTTGTCAGCAGAAAAGAACCCAAGGTCTGTAAAATAATTTAAAGAGGTTTATTCTGAGCCTAATATGTGCAACCATGGCCTGGAGAGCCACGCCCAACAAGCCCTTTACCAGTGGTCTAACCGCCGTTGGGTTACAGTTTGTTTTTATACATTTCAGGACCACCGGAATTACACGTAAAGTCATAAGTCAATACATGGAAGGTGTGCGTTGGTTTGGTCCAAAAAGGCCGAACGCCTTGAAACAGAGGGATTACAGGTTATAGGGGGTCTAAAGATTCTTTGATTTGTGCTTGGTTAATGAAATGAAACTTTCTCTAAAGGTTTGGAATGTTTTAAGTTTGGATAATGAAGTCTGTTAATCAGAAAAAAGCCACTGGACATATACCCAGACTCAAGTGATCTGTTCAGTAAATTGATGACCTGCAGGTTAGGACTGAACCCTGATCTTTTTCTTGGTCCAAAATTTCCTTTCTAAGGGGGCCTGGGGAGTCATATCTACAAATAAAATCTCAGTAAACAGGTTTTTATGATGTGGTTTACTTCCCAACCTGATTCCAGTGTAGCGTCACATAAAAAATAGAAGACCCTTATCTAAACTCAAGCATTCCTTTCCATTGATTCCTAGTCTTTTGGACAAAGCCTAACTCTTTCAGCCAATTGTCAACTAAAGAATCCCTAAACCTACCTATGACTTGTAACCCCCCTCTTTGAGATGGCCCACCTTTTTGGGCCAAACCAATGTATGCCTTCCATGTATTGATTTATGACTTTACCTGTAATTCCTGTCTCCCCAAAATGCATAAAACCAAACTGTAACTCAGCCACAGGGAGTCCACTTGCTCAAGGCTTCTTGGGTGTGGCTCCAGGCCATGGTCCTCAAATTTGGTTCAGAATAAACCTCCTTAAATTATTTTACAGAGTTTGCCTTTTTTTCTCAACAGAAAAATCATACACAGATATGATTTAAGCTTTTCCTTGAATAGCCTTCAGTCTATTAATGAGTTATAATACAAAGGATATCTCCAAGCAGGGAGCCGGGACAGGACAAGACAAGTCTGATCTCCCTTCTGATGGTCTTCAACTCTGCTTTAGGGTATTTCTGCAGTCCCCTTGGTCAAGAGGGGGTCTGTTCAGTTAGCCAGGGGGCCTTAAAATTTTATTTTAGTTCAAAATTTTGTGTCTGGCTTTGGAGAAAAAGAGCTCTGGTTTCTATGACCTACCTTGGGAAAGAAGGATTCTAGTTTTTAGGGCTAGCCTCAGGGAAGAATGAAAGGCCAGGGACAGAAGAGAAGGAGAAAGCTAGAGAGAAATTTGCTTCTGAGCTACTTCTAAGGCCTTTGTTTTTGGGTATCATTTTTCTGAGCCCTACAGAACTAAGAAAACATGAAATTGAAAACTCATGCCAGGTCATGTCTCCCTTACCGCTACTTCCACAACCAAATTCACACACATTAGCAAGTAATGTCAATTTTATTTGAACACCACATGGCAAAACAATATTAAAATTCCCCTTTAAAGAATTTTGTTCTTCCTACCAAATTACCTCTTTACTCTCCCCTTTACTTCCCCTTCCTTTCCTCCTCTGGACTTCACAAAGGGCTATTTTCAGTTCAGCTTTTTATCAAAACAAAAGCCTGGCAGTCACTTGACTCCACCCACTTCAAAAAGCAATTCAAAGATCACCCAGTGTTGTTGTAAACATACTCCTTGAGCAGCCTCAACCCCACCCTAGGTGAACTATCTCAAGAGCTGACACATGCTGAAGCTTTCTTTATGCCAGTGGCTCCTCTATGCCCTCTGTACATCTAACCTTATTTCAACCTAAAAACAAATCTAAGAAGTACATATTATTATTCCCATTTCAGAGATGAGAAAACTGAGGAACAGGGAAATTAAGTTCTATAACTTGCTCAGCTCTTAAGGTCTTGAATCAGAATTTGAACTGAAATAGTCTGAATCTAGAGCACAGAGGAATATTTTGATAATTCTTACTCCTGAGGTATCAAAATTGTCACCCTAGCAAAAATAGGTCTCTTTCTAGGAGAGCATTCTGCTGCTAAGAAATAAGATGTTCTATTTTTTTCTCCAATAGGATTTGGGATTTTAGTTTATCTTTAGTTCCTCTGCTCAACTCTGACCTACAGGATCAGTGGTTGTTGTAGATAAGAACTGCCCTGCACCCTCGGCACCCTCAGAGCAAGGGTGGAGGGTGGGCAGGAAGTGGCCAGAGCTGGCAGAGTTCACCCTGGAGGCCTCCTTCTCCTCCCTGTTCAGGTACTCTCCCCCTTTCTTCAGATCTGGGAAGCCTTCCAGCTGGGGGGCAGCAGGACACCCCCTCTCCCGCACCCCCAGGAGAGGTACTGCTGTGAGATCTGGAATTCTGGCCAAAGCTGTTCCAAGACTGCTGGGGAGAGAGGGCCTCCCTCTCCCATGATCACCTTGTGTGTCCTTTGTTAATCTTCAAGTCTATTTGGTGAAAGTGGTGCAAAGAGGTAACCAGGACTTTGTCCAGGTTGGGTGCCAGTACTGCAGTGGCTTTCTCTGCTGCTCCCTGTGAACCTGCAGATGTGGTTCACATAATGAGAAACAGTCCTATAGGCAAAGACTCACTCTTTCTCCAGTGTCCTCGAAGAGGGAGTGGCCTGGGTGATTCCCCACTTCTCCCTCACAATGTCACTATTTATATCGGGACTGACCCAAGATGCTCCTCCCACCTCATCCCCTTGGAAGCCAAACCCCTTCGTACTCTGTATAAGGTCTACGCCCCACGGACTGAGTGACTGCAGAAACTGACCTTCTGTCTCTCTGGGACACCAAGCTGGAGACCCAGGTAAGCAGCCCAAGAGGTGGTCTCAGGAGCTGCTTCTGCTGGAGAGTTGGACTGGAGGGAGCCAGGGAGAATCTACTTGCACCGAGAAGGCTTAGTCTGACACTCGTGCTGGAAAAACTTGGGCCAGGCAAACATCAGCTGAGGGCAGAGAGGTTGGGGATGGGACATGCAGGCTGCAGAGAATCTGTGGGTCTGGAGAAGGAGCCCCCATGTTGGAGCAGGCTGTCATCTCTCTTTGGAATACAATGGAATCCCTTATGTTGCTCGTGTCAGGCACTGGACTGAGTTTCCCTTATGTTGCAAAACAATCAGGCCTGTCAGCCATGGTCCTAAATGTCAGGGATACAAATTGGCTCATGGTTTATTCAAAATGATCTTCTGATGAGACATTTGAGCACTGGGTACAAATGTATTTTAGACCTCAGGAACTCCAGGATTCAAAGACAGTACTGCCAGGATTTTAGGTGACTTTGTAGGTTACCATCTAGAGGTGAAGATCTTTCTCGATAGTGGGAGTAAAACGCTCTTGGAGAAGGGTATATGTGAGTGTCTCTTCCCTTGAAAAATCTCAGGGAGAGGGACATCTTTCTGGCTGACCTGAAAGGGAGACTGCAGACCAGGGAAGCCACAGGTGGGAGCTGGAGTTCTCTTTCTAAGGGGATGCTTTTCCTTCTTTCTCCCTTTCCCAGTTAGGCTTCTCCAGGAAAGTGAGGCTGCCATGGCTCTGGAGAAGTCCCTCGTCCTGTTCCCACTGCTGGTTCTGGCGCTGCTGGTGCTGGAGTGGGTCCAGCCTTCCCTGGGCAAGGAGTCCCCGGCCATGAAGTTCCAGCGGCAGCACATGGACTCGGGCAGCTCCTCCAGCAGCAACTCCACCTACTGCAACCTAATGATGAGGCGCCGGAATATGACAAAGGGACGGTGCAAGCCGGTGAACACCTTTGTGCACGAACCCCTGGTAGATGTCCAGGCCGTCTGCTTCCAGGAAAATGTCACCTGCAAGAATGGGCAGACCAACTGCTATAAGAGCAACTCTAACATGCACATCACAGACTGCCGCCTGACAGGCGGCTCCAAGTACCCCAACTGTGCATACCGGGCCAGCCAGAAGGAGAGACACATCATTGTGGCTTGTGAGGGAAGCCCATATGTGCCTGTCCACTTCGATGCTTCTGTGGGGGACTCCACCTAAGGTCAGAGCAGCAAGATGCACCCCCCCCTCATCATTTCGACACCTGCCTCTCCCCAGTTCCTTCCTTGCCTGAAAGAAATAACTCCAGTTAGGGCTCCTCTTCGACATGCACATGCTTCCCTCTCCCGAGTCTGGCTCCTGCATGCTTTTGGGGTGAGGAATGGGTTGTGAGGTGGGCTTCATGTTAACCCTTTCACTGCTTCTTTCAATAAAACAGTTGCAAACACCTAGTTCCTGAAGCTGTCCCATCCAGTTACTATTAATATTTCTTTATTTGCTTCCAGCAGGGGGTAAGAACTGTAGATCTGATTAGCGTTGGTGAGCAGCGAATGGAGTGATTAAAATGCCTTCCCTTCTGACTCGGATTTTAGTGGCTTGAGAAAATTCTTTTCCTTGTAGATTCCTTGATGCCAAGTATAAAGCTGTTAAGCGTGGGCTGTTTTAGACAAAAGGGAAGTACAGCCTGGGACACTGCCATTTGGGGTGAACTGGCAGAGGGAAAGTTCAAATACTATAATTCTCTGGCACAGCAGGAGGCAAGGGCAAGCATGACCTCAGAAAGACCCTGCTTAGTCTCAGGGTGGGAGGAGGAGTCTATGAAATTATGATCCTAAATTTCCATTTTCCTTTTTGTTTTTTTTTATTTGAGTGAGCTATCACTAAGTCAGCAAAATGGGCAGCTAGAAGTGACTATAGAGATCATGGTATTGAAAGGCAGCAAGTAGATTTCAGTCTGTGTACCAACTCCAATCAGAAGTGCCTGCCTAGAATGCTGTAGAAAAAAATTCTTCACAGTGACGTGGTGAACAATAGCCTCTCCTGAAAGCATGAGAGGGGTAAGGGTGTATGTGCCACACATCTGCCATCCCTGACCCAATGCAACCACCACCTTTTAAGTGACTTGCACATGGCCTGCTGCTAGTTAGTGGCACAGCTGTGGAACAGCTGGGACTAGAACCCAGGTCTCTTGGCTTCCAGTCATTGTTCTTTCTGCCACTGGAGTCTAACTCAGGAAAGAAATCCCTCTCCGTCACTAAGTGCCGTGGACTGGTGGCTGTCTCCCAGGGCGTGCTGGTGCACTCTCACAGGCTCTCAGTGTCCTTGTCCTGCGAGTCGGCTCAGTTCTTGGCAACCCTTCCTGAGAGCCATTGACAGACTAGACTCGGCCACTGTCATCACTTTAGCATTACATTTAATCCCTGTTTGTGGTGGCATCTCGCTTTAGACAAGGTCATAGAACCAGAGGAAGGCCTTGCACCTGACCAGTGTGACCAGTTTTGTCATTGTCTTTGTATACTGCATTTATAGGTGTTGAGAGTGACCGTGATTTTCTTATGTAGAGTGAAAATCTGGGGCCCTGGGTGCTCTGCGTGAGGAAGACCTGCAGCCGGGGAGGGACCATCCCCACATTCCTGTGGCAATGGCGATCTCACTCCTTCCTAGAAGTGAGAGTGGAGGAGGAAAAAAGGAAACTTCGAGTTCCCAAATGTGTCTCCTTTAATTAATTTTTTCCTTAAGTTTATCTCACCCTTGTTCCCAGTCCCAAAGCTTCTCATTTTCCCTCCTGCTAGTCCTAAGAAAACACTTCAGTGAAGTTTTTAAGGACAGTCACTTGGAGTTTTGCTGTATCCATATATGCACAGTCACCAGCTCTGGCTTCTGGCTCCCCCCACCTTTCCCGCCGCAGAACCCTGGGGACCCCTGTCTGGGGAATAAAGCAACAAGTGAAGACCTGCATAGCCAGGGAGGATGTGGGGGAGCGAAATTAGGCTGGGTATGGTGGCTGACACCTGTAATCCTAGCACTTTGGGAGGCTGAGGTGGGAGGATTACTTGAGGCCTGGAGTTCAAGACCAGCCTAAGCACAATAATGAGATCTCGTCTCTACAAAAAATAGAAAAATTAGCCAAGTGCGGTGGCATACACTTGTAGTCCAAGCTACTCGGGAAGCTGAGCCCAGGAGTTTGAGGTTGCAGTGAGCTATGATTGCGCCACTGCACTCTAGGCCTGGCAACAGAGTGAGACCTTGTCTCAAAAAATAAGGAAGCTAAATTTAAAAAGTGGAAACCTTCAGACCCAGATTAATTCAAAGCAGTGGGTTCCTTACACTCTCACTGTCAATGGCTATGTTAGGGCTGACTGACACGTGGCTGATAGCAAGCTTATTTCTGGGGTTCCCAGGCACACAGCAGAGGCACTTGGAGGAGAGATAAGGTCTCTAATGGTACCTTCTGGAACTGGGGGTAGGAGTGTGCAATTGATGGGAGGAAAGGGAGAAGGAGAGGGGGAAATAGCTTCTCTAATAGCAGGGCTGCAGCCTTTGCCTCTGTTGGTCCCACAAAGGCTGCTCTATACTTGCAAACCAGCAGCTAGGTCTCCCTCTGGCTGAATAAGCCTTTTGGCCTTTTGAAGGCCGAGGCTGAGGCTGAGAGCAGATTGTGCCAGAATTCTGAGTCTGTACCTGCAAGGGCAATCCCTATGGAGGGCTGATCTAAATTAGATGCACAGTGATTGGGACAGGGAGGTTCTGGGGTGAATAGGAGTGTCTGTGTGGGCAAATGGGCAGCTGTCGACAGCTAGCAGAGTGGGGGACTTTAGAAACTGTAAACAGGTCTAGGGAAACTGGCCCTGCCTCGCTTCTGAGGTTGCTGTAGGAAAAAGAAGAAGAAGAAGAAAGAGAAGAAGGAGAAGAAGGAGAAGAGGAGGAGGAGGAGGAGAAGGAGGAGGAGGAGGAGGAGGAGAAGGAGAAGAATAAAGGGAAGGGCAAAAAGCCCTTGGCCGGATGTGAAGTAAGGCAACCTTGGTGTGTGCTTGGCCAAGTTGTGTGGCCCTGGCTAGCTGCAGTGTCCAGCAGTCTTCACTCTTCCTCTGCAACATCTCTCCCACCATCAGCTGAGCTCTGATGTGTTTGTGTTCTCAGTTACACTCTTGGGATATGATTTAATGCAGAAATTCTCAGTGAATTATTAAAGAACATAGAGTAATGTACTGTTCTACCTAAAACATCTGCCCTTTTTAAATCCAGGGAATGTCTGAACATACAGATTCTTAAGTGAAAGGAACATTTATCTAGCATTTGTGAAGGAAGGAATGAAGGAGTGAGTACAGAGGGTATAGGGAGCGCGAGAGCTACAAAGATTGGGTTATTCTTTATGAGTCTAGCCTGGACTCAAAACCTTGAGACAGGGCAACAGCTCCAAGTGTCTGTTGTCTTTCTGTAAAGTGGTGATAATCACAGCACTTAACTAAAAGTCCCATGGCGAATATGACATTCAGGTAAAGCTCAGCGTTCAGCATTTGGTGGACACTCAGAGCAAGTTAGCCGCTTTTACAAAGGCACTGTGGCATAGTGATTGACAGCTTTGGCTTTGGTGTGAAGCAGACTTGGTCCACACTCCACACCTGCCACTTATGAGTACAGTGACTTTAGGCAGAGAACTTAACTTTCTTAACATCAGCTTCCTGATATAAAAAATGCTGATAATCATGGTACCAACTTGAGGGACTTGTTGAGGATTAATTGAGGTCATATATATAAAATATGTAGGACAATGTGTGATACATAATAAAAGCTAATAACATTAGAATCAAGTGTCATACATCCCATTCTATCACCTGCATGCATCCAGTCAAGATTGTAATTAAAGAGAGCAAAATTGAGAGTGCATCACTGCAATTTTCTATGTTGGTGATTGAAGGTACCAACATACAATCTTAGTTCTCCTGAGGGCCACATATGTGAGAGGGGCCAGGGACATTAGAACAGAGCTCCAGGGAGTATGAGTTCTGTCAGCCCAAGAGAGGGCATAACCAGAGATATGGATAGCCCAAGAGATCACACAGAGACTGTGCAGAGGCCTAAGCTTGATTTCAAGAACAGACTCTCAAAAGAGTGAACATAAAATCAGAGTATAAGCCAAGTACAGTCCTGCGTCACTTAATGATGGGGATACAATGTGTCATCATTGTGGGAACACCATAGTCTGCACTTACACAAACCTGGATGGGATAGCCTACTACACACCTAGGCTATATGGCGTAGCCTATTGCTCCTAGGCTACAAACCTGTACGGCATGTTACTGCACTGAATACCGTAGGCAACTGCAACATAATGGTAAGTATTTGTGTGCTTCAACATACCTAAACACAGAAAATGTACAGCAAAAATATGGTATAAAAGGTAAAAAACGGAGCCGAGTGCAGTAGCATGTGCTTCTAGTCCCAGCTACTCAGGAGGATGAGGCAGAAAGATCTCACCTCAACACCAGCCTGGGCATCATACCAAGACCCTATCTCCAAACAAACAAAATGAAAAAAAAAAGGGGCGGGTGCAGTGGCTCATGCCTGTAATCCTAGCACTCTGGGAGGCCGAGGCAGGAGGATTGCTTGAGCTCAGGAGTTTGAGACCAGCCTGAGCATGAGCGAGACCCCGTCTCTACTATAAATAGAAAGAAATTAGCCAAACAACTAAAAATAGAAAAAATTAACCAGGCATGGTGGTGCGTGCCTGTAGTTCCAGCTACCTGGGAGGCTGAGGCAGGAGGATTGCTTGAGGCCAGGAGTTTGAGGTTGCTGTGAGCTAGGCTGATGCCACGGCACTCTAGCCCAGGCAGCAGAGTGAGACTCTGTCTCAAAAAAAAAAAAAAAAAAAAAAAAAAAAAGAGAGAGAAAGGAAAAATGATACATGTTTATAGGGTATTTACCGTGAAATGAAGCTTGAAGAACTAGAAGTTGCTCTGGGTGTGTCAGTGAGTGAGTGATGGTGACTATGAAGACCTAAGACATTACTGTACCCTACCATAGCCTTTATAAAAACTGTACACTTAGGCTACACTAAACATATTTTTAAAATGTTCTTTCTTCAATAGTAAATTAACCTTAGCTTATTCTAACTTTTTTACTTCATAAACTTTTAATCTTTTTTAAACTATTTGAGTCTTTTGTAATAACACTTAGCTTAAAATGCAAGTACATTGTATAGCTATATGAAAATATTTTATTTCTTTGTATCCTTATTCTATAAGATTTTTTCTATTTCTGTTTTTGTTTTGTTTTGTTTTGTTTTTTGAGACAGAGTCTCGCTTTGTTGCCCAGGCTAGAGTGAGTGCTGTGGTGTCAGCCTAGCTCACAGCAACCTCAAATTCCTGGGCTCAAGCAATCCTCCTGCCTCAGCTCCAAGTAGCTGGGCTACAGGCATGTGCCACCATGCCAGCTAATTTTTTCTATATATTAGTTGGCCAATTAATTTCTTTCTATTTATAGTAGAGACGGTGTCTCGCTCTTGCTCAGGCTGGTTTCGAACTCCTGACCTCGAGCAATCCACCTGCCTCGGCCTCCCAGAGTGCTAGGATTACAGGCGTGAGCCACCATGCCCGGCCAGCTTTTTTATATATTTAATATTTTTTTTTGTTTTTGTTTTTGTTTTTTTTTTGAGACAGAGTCTCGCTTTGTTGCCCAGGCTAGAGTGAGTGCCATGGCGTAAGCCTAGATCATAGCAACCTCAAACTCCTGGCTCAAGCAATCCTCCTGCCTCAGCCTCCCGAGTAGCTGGGACTACAGACATTCGCCACCATGCCCGGCTAATTTTTGTATATATATTAGTTGGCCAATTATTTCTTTCTATTTATAGTAGAGACGGGTCTCGTCTTGCTCAGGCTGGTTTCGAACTCCTGACCTCGAGCCAATCTGCCGCTCGGCCTCCCCCAGAGAGCTAGGATTACAGGCGTGAGCCACCGCGCCCGGCCTATATTTAATATTTTTAAATTTATTTTCCTTTTTAAACTTTTTTTATTAAAAACTAAGATATAGGGTGGGTGTGGTTCCTCACGCCCAGTGCTTTGGGAAGCTGAGGTGGAAGGATTGTTTGAGGCCAGGAGTTCAAGATCCACCTGGGCAACATAATGAGATCTTACCTCTACAAAAAATTTAAAGATTAGCCAGACATGGTGGCACACGCCTGTAGCACTAGCTACTTGGGAGGCTGAGGCAGAAGGATTGTGTGAGCCCAGGAGTTCGAGCCACTACACTCCAGCCTAGGTGACAGAGTAAGACCCTGTCTCTATTAAAAAAAAAATCTAAGACACAAGCACACACATTAGCCTAGGCCTACACATGGTCAGAATCATCAATATCACTGTCTCCCACCTCCTCAACTTGTCCCACTGGAAGGTCTTCAGGGGCAACAACACATGGAGTTGTCATCTCCTTTCATAACAATACCTTCTTCTGATATACCTCCTGAAGGACCTGCCTAAGGCTGTGTTTCAGTTAACTTTTTTTATATATATAAATAAATATATATGAAATTATATATTTTATGTATAATATATATTTTTTCATATCTTTATATATATATGAAATACATTCTAAAATAATAAGAACTGTAGTATGGTAAACACACAAACCAGTAACATAGTCATTTATTATCAAGTATTATGTACTATATACAATTATATATCCTAGGCTTTTTTTTTTTTGAGACAGAGTCTCGCTTTTTGCCCAGGCTAGAGTGAGTGCCGTGGCGTCAGCCTAGCTCACAGCAACCTCAACTCTGGGCTCAAGCATCCTTCTGCCTCAGCCTCCTGAGTAGCTGGACTACAGGCATGTGCCACCATGCCCGGCTAATTTTTTCTATATATATTAGCTGGCCAATTAATTTCTTTCTATTTATAGTAGAGATGGGGTCTCGCTCTTGCTCAGGCTGGTTTCGAACTCCTGACCTCAAGCGATCCGCCCGCCTCGGCCTTCCAGAGTGCTAGGATTACAGGCGTGAGCCACCGCGCCCGGCCTATCCTAGGCTTTTATATGACTGGAGGTAGCTTTGTGGAGAATTAATTGGTCTTAACTGTAAAATGTAATGGATATATTTTTAAGACAAATTCTCTTTCAAATAGCATCAATAATCATTAGGCCCAGGCATTCAGAAATTCTGATAGTTGACTATTGTGCAGAGAGGACATGTAGTAGGAAGGAAATCCTCTTAAAGGTGATATTTGAAGATGGTTTAGTACAGAATCGCTCCATGGAAGTGACAGTACCCCTAAAGGGGCAACAATTCGTTCAGTTTTTTTGTGTGTTTTTTTTTTTTGAGACAGAGTCTTTCTCTGTCGCCCAGGCTGGAGTGTGGTGATACAATCACTGCAGCCTCAAACTTGTGGGTGCAAGCAATCTTCCAGCCTCAGCCTCCTGAGTAGCTGGGACTACAGGCGCGTGCCACCGTACTTGGCTATATTATTTTTTATTTTTGTAGAAATGGGGTCTCATTATGCTGCCCAGGCTGGCTTCAGACTCCTGGCTTCAAGCAATCCTCCTGCCTCAGCCTCCCAAAGTGCTAGGATTATAGGCATGAACCACCACATATCCCCAAAATCTGAGATATTATAATGGTTTGTGGTTCTTCAAACTCAACCCTACTCAGCAAAACTTATTCCTTAGTATTTAATTTCATGGGGTTTGTGGATAGTTAGGAAAAAATATATTGAAAAGCCTCCTGCTATGGTTTAAATATTTGTTCCCTCCCAAATTCATATTGAAATGTAATTGTCATTGTAACAGTATTAAGAGATGGGACCTTTAAGAGTTGATTAAGCCATGAAAGCTCTGCCTTCACGAATGGATTAATGCTGTAATTATAGGAACAGTTTCCTTATAAAAGGTTAAGTTTAGCCATCTTGTGTCTCTCTTGCCTTCTCTTTACCTTTCTGCCATGGGATGACACAGCAGGAAGGCACTTGTCAGATGCCAGCATTTTGATATTGGAATTTCCAGCATCCAGACCCACAAGCCAATAAATTTCTGTTCATTATTAATTATTAAGTCTGTGGTATTCTATTATACCAGCACCAAATAGACTAAGACAGCTCCTTAGGGAGGTGGTAAGGGACAAAAAGTTGAATACGATGTTAGCTGTAGGGTTTTTGTAGATGTCTTAGTAAGTTCAGGCTGCTATAACAAAAATATCATAGACTAGATGGGAACCATGATATCTCTAGCCAGGGGTAACCCTCCTGGAACCAGGCCTGGCCCCAGGATAACACTACAGACATGAGTCCTGAAGCTCCTCAGGGCTTCCTGTGCTGGGAGGGAGAGTAGAAGGTGGGAGAAAGTCCCAAAAGGGAGAAACAGGATGAGAATCTCTGTGGGTCTCAGGCCAGGCACTGCCAGCCTGTGCTGACTCCAGCCTCGGCAGGGAGACTTAGAAAATGTCGAGATGGGCATTGCAAGGTGCAAGGGGTCCCCTGAGGAGTAGGCTGGGACAGAGACCCCACTTGCCCAGTCCTAAGGGCAATTCTCTCTGACCCTTACTTCTGCATGGTCCCCAAGAAAGGCTCCTGGAAGCTGTTTTATGCAATGCGACTCTATCTGAGTGGTCGTGACTGTCTGACACAGGTAGTCAATCCGAATCCCTTCACCAATAAATTATATTTAAGAGGAAATTTAAAAAGAAGATGGAAACAGCTGATTATCTACTTACCACGTGAAACAGAAAAGCAGAGGAAATGAGTATACCACAGGAAAAGACTGAAACAGTGCACAGAAAAGAACATTAATAAGAGACAGAGAAAGGCCAAACATTTTTCCAGTCCTGATTCCACTACTTTCCCGAGGCCCCAGTTCAAAATTCTCAGCCCAACAGGTGCCTTCCCTCCTACTGAATTCCAGTCACCTGTCAGCCACAGCCAGAGGACAAGATCCACTTTCTAGTCTAGCAGACAAGGAGTCAGCAAAATTTTTCTGTAAAGAGCCAGACAGTGTGTGTTTTACTTTTGTGGGACACATAGTGTTTCTATCACTTCTTCTTTTTCTCATTCCTCCTCCTCCTCCCCCTCCTCTTCCTCTTCTTCTTCTTCTCCTCTTAAAACAGTAAAAACCATAGTGCTCCAGGTAGTACAAAAAGTCTTTGGGCAGGCCAGATGGTCTGCAGCTGTAGTTTGCCTACCACTGGATTGATAGTGATTCCTAATTTTTGCTGCCCATTACAATTACACGGGGACCTTTAAAAAACATGCAGTTTTAGCCGGGTGTGGTGACATGCAACTGTAGTCCCAGCTACTCAGAAAGCTGAGGCAGAAGGATCCCTTGAGCCCAGGAGTTGGAGGTTGCAGTGAGCTATTACGATGTCATTGCACTCCACCCTGGGCAATAGAGTGAGATGTAGTCTCAAAATACACAAATAAAACATCCAGTAGTGCCCAGGCCCCACCCCCAGAAATTCATTTAACTGTTCATTAAATGTTCATAAAATATCCAATAGATAATGGGAGGATTAACTCTAGGGTTCAGTGGATTATTATCCTTATTACTATTACTTTAAATAGTAAACATGTTTAAACATTATCTAATTAAAAACAGAATCAAATAGGAAAGATCTAGGACCCCTCAGTTGCCAATATTAGACTCTGTGTGTAAAAGTATCATCAACAGTCTATGAGATATCAGTACTACCTCCAAATAAACAAAGACAGTGGTTTCCATGGAAATATATAAAGTCATGAGCAGTGTTTGAAGGGATGTTCCAAATCCCAAACACTCCCCTTCCCTAGGAGCAATGGAAGTGGCAGAGGCCTGAGGGAGGGCACGTAGGGACACAAGGACCTAAAGTCAAAATAGTTCTCTGTGAAAACTGGTAGGCAGTAATTTGCAAGGGGATCGCAAACACACTCATACTCATTAAAATGCAGCAGGAAGTGGTTTTATTGCTGTGAACAGTGCAATAAAGCTTGGCAAACGTTGCAAGGTTAGAAATCTGGAGTTCTGAACCCTGCTTTGTCCTCTTCCCCACTGCCTTCCCTCAAAAACACACAAAGCTCCAAAGCAGAAAAGAATCCCATTTCTTTTTGTCCCAACTCTGGGCTGGTATCCTAGGCATTCTCCCAACACCTTCCTTCTTTCTTCTGTGGGAATAAGGAAATTAACAAAAGAAAAAGCAGAAGAAATTACAAGACATCCTGTGTCAAATAAGAGGAAAAAGTGATGGAGACTTTAGACAATACTATCTAAGTGTACGGGAACCAAATGATAGGGAGGGTCGCTCTTCTGCGGGGGGTCACAGGCAACAATGAAGAATTTGTATTGGGCAGCGTCCCTGTAGCGGCACTGAGGATACCTTCCTGAAGTGAGTCTGCAGTCAGTCATGTTGACAGGCTTGGAGCTCTGGTGGCAGTTGTTCCGACCATTTTTGCAGACAATGTTGAGCAAATTACAGACAGCAGCCACATTCTGGAAAGAGTCGTGCAGAAAGGTGTTTTTAGGCTTACAGTGCTTAGTATAATTATTGACGCCACTCATTGCTCTGTTGCACTGGAGAGGATTTGGCTGTAGATGCTGAATTTCAAACCAATGAGCCTTGGTGAGATGCTTAGGCTGAACAGAAAGTGGACATACTGGTCCCCACAGTTCCAGCAGCAATAGGAGGAGAGGAAAGCATAGCACCATCTTTTCTGCGTAGGAAGAGGGAAGAGAATTATAGTAGAAGAAACAACAAGAGCAAAATTATTAATCATAACTATTTAGATTTTTATTCTGTCTTTTAAGATTTCATAGCCCTTTTATTAAAAAAATCTGCTTTCTCACATAGAGTCTATGTGAGAACCTGATTCTATGAAGATTCTAGGAATAGCCTGAAGCCCAGTGACAAGAAATACAAGGGAAACAACAGCAACGCTTTTCTTCGATTGGCAGATCCCATTCTCCTTGACCTGTACTCATGCATTTGATGACCCTCGTGTCAGAAATCTGGTTTTCCCCTCTTCTCTCCTCAAATATTTACCCTCTATCTATTTGACCACTACCTCCCCGCCATCTTTACTGCCCTATTCCCCCCAGCCCTGAGAGTCCTTACCTGGTGTCAGTGTTGGGGCTCCCACTAAGAACAAAGGCTGTGGTTAGTTTTCAGCTCACAGGCTTTTGTCTGCTTTTTTTCCTCCAAGTCTTTCAGTGCTGCCTCTATAGGGCAGGGTAAGAAGCATCCTGAACTGTAGGAAAGAGAATCCTAGGGCTTGACACATGAACTTCTTGTGCAGAGTGTGGATTAGTCTCGTAGACTTTTAAAGCTGCTCTTTAGAACAGTATTACTATCATTGTATGTACAGGAAGAATAAGTGTATTTAAAGAAACAGGATGATGCAAAACTCACACTTTTGAGGAACTGATCCCTTCCTCATATGGGTTGTGTGCTTCCTTCCTGATCTGAGTCTTTACTTTTTTTGAAGCTCTATGATTTCAGTTCCTTAAGAGAGAATATACCATTTAAATGTGTTACAATAGCTCTACCACATACGTGGTAGTGTTGTGAGTTCCAACAACAGATGGGAATGAATTATGCATTGGTGTGTATGTTTATTGGGCCAGGTACTGGGCTACACAAATTCAGGAGCTCATGATGTGATGAAAGAGATAAGAGACAGTCAGATAAGTAAATAGACAAATTCGTTCTATATTAATAAATGTAAATAGCACTTATAGTGTGGTGAAGGACACTGCAGGAGACTGTGGGGAAATAGTAGAGGGGAAGGATTACTGGAGGCCACAACACCTGAACTGAATTTTGAGGAATAATTAAAAGTTAAGGCCAGGGCCGGGCGAGATGGTTCACGCCTGTATACCTGCACCTGGAGCGAGGCGGTGATTGCTCAAGGTCAGGAGTTTGAAACCAGCTGAGCAAGAAGTGAGAGCCCCCTACTAATAGAAAGAAATTAACTGCCAACTAAATATATAGAAAATTAGCTGGGCATGGTGGCACATGCCTGTAGTCCCAGCACTCAGGAGGCTGAGGCAGAGATCACTTGAGCCCTGGAGTTTGAGGTTGGCTGTGAGCAGGCGACGCATGGCACTCTAGCCCAGGCAACAGAGTGGACTCTGTCTCACAAAAAAAAAAAAAAAAAAGTTAGTGAAGGGAATTTGTGAGGACCCCAGGAGGGAACTGTGTATGAAAAGACTCATAAGCATGAAGGGGAAGGCAAATTTGGGTATTGCCTCCTGAATCTGATCTTACTTCCTTTGGTGCTGTAACACTCTTATTCAGAACCTCATTGTTGATCAGGAGGGCTCACATAAAAGCCTCCACGTGTTTCTACCTCTAATTTCTTTTCTTTCAATTCATTCTACATTTCCAGTTTAGTCTTCCTTGAACATAGATAAAATAGTACAACACTCTTGCCGCTGACTTTAATGGCTGCAAATAGCTACAGAATAAACATGATGGTGCTCATAGCAAGGTTGTAGGACACAAGATTCAATATATTATGCAAAAGTAATTGCTTTCTTATATACCAGCAATGAACAATGGAGTCTGAAATAAAAATACAATGCTATTTACTTGCACCAAAGAATGAATATTAGGTATAAATCTAACATATATAATGATATAGGATTGATATGGAAAAACATAAAACTGTAATGAAAGAAACTGAAGAACTAAGCCTAGATTCCATGTACACGGGAAATCAATATGTTATATGTCAGTCTCTAACTGATCTGCCGATGAAGACAATTCCATCATTTATCCCAGCCTTATTGTGGATATTCACAGATTGATTCTGAAGTTATATAAAGGTAGAAGATGATAATCAATACAATCCTGAAAAGGAAGAACAAATTCGAGAGACTGACCTACCCAAATTCAAGATTTACTATAAGCTACAATTAAGGCAGTGTGGTATTAGTGAAAATAGAAAAGTCAATGAACGAGCTAGAAAGCCAAGAATAGACCACACAAATATACAAATTTCTTTGAAAAGGATCAAAGGCGAATACAGTGAGGAAAATAGTGTTTCGACAAACTAGTAGAAAGCGGATTCACGTCGAAAAATATTTTTCTAGTCTAGTTGTACACCCTTCATAGACTTAGACTTTACATCTGCACAAAGTTAACTCAAAATGGACCATAGACTTAATGCAAAATGTAAAACTTTAAAAATTTGAAAGATAACATAGGGCAAAATTTAGGCAAACTTGGTTTGTAATCACTTTTAGATACACTAAAGCATAATCATGAAAGGAAAAAATTGATAAGTTGGACTTTATTAAAATTAAAAACTTCGCTCTGCAATAGACACCATTAAGAGAATAGCAAGCTTGAGACTGGAATATTTGAAAATATATAATTGATAAAGGCTGTTACCTAAAATATTACGAAGAATCTTTAAACCTCAACCATAAGAAAACGAACAATCCATTAGAAAACAGGTAAAGATTGATATATAGAGAAGAGGAATTTTCTCTGTGAGTCTGAAGGTTCAATCTGCTGAAATGAACTGATAATAAACCAATTAACAGGAGAAAGGCATACAAATTATATTATGTGCGTAAGCATGGAGCCATCAAATTATGAGACTCAAAGAAAGGCCAGGATGCGGGCATGGTGGTATACCTATAATTCAAGATTCAGGAGACTGAGGCAGGAGGATCACTTTGAGCCCAGGAGTTCACAGGATGCATGGAGCTGTAATCATGCCATCTGCACTCCGCCTGACAACAGAGTGAGACCCTATCCTAACAAATAATAAAAGCCAGATGATTGATGCCCCTGTGAAGAGAGGAAAGAGGGGCAGGGAGTGTAGGCAATTTTAAGAGTTTTAAATGGTTTTTTAGGAATGGAATGAGCCAAGAGGACAGTAGTTTGTAAATGATTTTCTTTGAAAACTGAATGGAAGGGTGAAATTATGGGAATAAAGGTAGAACTGCACTGGTGAACAAAGCTTACCTATAATGCAGATAGGTCTCTTAGGTATCTCATGGAGCTGGCTCTCAGAAGAACAGATGAAATTCTGTCTGGGCATTGTGTGGACTCTTAGTATCTTCTCTTTTCTGGTGGTTAATCTTTTCCTGGTTATTTGATGAGATTCTTAGGGAGGAGTGTCTTAAGACAACTTGCATTTCTTGGAAGTTTTCCTCAGTCGGATAAAGTAATTCCAGAAGAAGCCACTCTCTGGCTTGGGTAGGGGAGGAATAAAACTAGAAAGTCCTTGGTTCTGAGGCATGTTCTAAAAAACTTCAATTTTCTTTAATCAAAAGCTCAGCATGCCAAAGCATCTTTGGTATCACTCTCTGTACCAACGCAGACACTTACACAAAGAAGATACACAGATGGCAAACAAGATGGCACAGATGGCATATGAAAAGACGCTCAGCATCATATTTTCGAGAGGAAAATGTTTCCTCTGTCATTTTAGGTTGAATGTAGTGAGAGAAGAGATGATGTTACAGAAAGTTTAGCACTTGTCCCGACCGCATCAGAAGAATGAGGAAAAGTTGTTGAAGGAGAGGAAAGAAAAGTTTATATTTGCCAGCAAATGAGGAGGTTGCCAGACTCCCATTTCAAAGTACCAGGTTCTGCTTCTGAGCAGAAGTACAGAGATTTTAAAGGTTTACTCAATTCCATCTTCAGCTAAGACAACTTGCAGCCTCAGGAATTCCTGTGATGCAAGAACAAAGGACTGCTCCCACTCTCCTGTCCATGGCCTGAGACAAGGATGTAGGTTTTAGTTCTCAAAGATAAGGGGTTTGAAGGACAGAAAAATTTTACTCTGTTTTAGACCATTTCTCTGTTACGCTCGTGAATTAACTGAAAAAAAAAAAAGACAGGTTAACAGGAAACAAGATAAAGTTTTTTACACACACACAGGCATATTACACAAGAAGTAACTCACTGAAGAGTCGGGAAAGGTTATATACATTTAACAAAGTGCTTTTTTTTTGGACTTCAGTGAAAAAGTATGCAAGGTTCTATTGGGTTTTTTGATGGCAATAGGAATGGGCAGTCTGACTTCCTGGATGGAAGTTTCCCTATATTTATGGCAGCTGACACTCCAATGTTAAGGGGCAGTCTTCTTTCAAACAGGAAACCCTTGGAAGGGGGAACAATCGCAGCTGAATTTTCAGGAGGCTCTACTTAAGTTTAGATAATGTTTCTTTCTGCAGCAACTATCTGTTTGACATTTCAGTTTAAACTAATTTACATACCACTTTGGGGGTTGTTAATCCCTTAATATATCATTAGAGAATTGAATTAAAACAGTGAATACTACTATACACTTATTAGAATGATAAAAAAAAAAAAAGACATTCCCAAAGCTAGTGAGGATGCAGAGCAGCAAGAATGCTAATTAATTGCTGCACAACTCTGGGAGCCATATTTTAGAGTGATATATTCTGGCTCTACAGAGAGGTTCAGTTAGCCTAACTTGATTCATGATCACCCCTGCTCAATAAGCAGACGGGAACTTCACAACACAGCCACATATATCAAAATAGGCCCAAGAAATGAACATTGCAGCTATCTGAAAAAGAGTGGACACTGGGAAAGCAAAGCAACAACACTAAGTTATTACACCAATTGCCCTTAAATCCATTTTCCTCCATACTGTGAAAGATGAGCTGTGACATTTTTTCCTTGCTAAATTCCTTTCTAAGGGGTATGGAGAAAGTCATTTATCAGCCATAATATCTTTTAAACAGGTCTTTTTTGACCCAGCATTATGGGGCTTATTTTCCAGCCTGACACTGGCATCACATGACAGATAACGAACCCCTTGTCTTAACATTCCTTTCTAGTGACTATGCTTTAGATAAAGCTTAACTCTTTCACAAATGCCAACTAAAGAAACTAAACTAACTATGATTTGTTAATGGAAAAAAAAAAAAAAAAACTCTGTAAATAATTTAAAGAGGTTTACTGAGCAATGTGTGCAACTGTGGCCAGGCAGGCCCCAAGAAGTCTTAAGCAAGTGATCCAGAGGTGACTGGGTTACTGTTTGGTTTTTTTTTTTTCTTTTGAGACGAGTCTCACTCTGTTGGCCAGGCTGAGTGCAGTGGCGTCACTAGCTCAAGAGCAATCCAAACTACCAGGCTCACGTGATTCTCTGCTTCAGCCTTCCGAGTAACTGGGACTACAGGCATGCACCATGCCTAATATATATAAATATATATATATATGTTAGGACGACCTCCACAGCCCCACCGGACAGAAAGCAGCGACATCGAGGATGTAATTACACAAGAGGACAAGAGAGTTTATTTGGCTACCAGGGTCCAAGCCTAGAGCACTAATGCAGTGCCGCTCCTTACAGGCAAGGACCCCCACGGGGGTTGCAGCGTGCTTTTTATCCCTATGG